TTCTATTCTATTCTATTCTATTCTATTCTATTCTATTCTATTCTATTCTTTTGAAATGCTGATGTTTCAAGAGTTTTTAATTTCTTGAATGGAGAGGAGAGGCAGACCCTTTAGCATCGCATAAACTCCATTGAAGATGTTATCTAGCCTTGTAACAAAACGTTTGGAAACTCAGAGGATGAACCTTCACCCCCAATTACTAAAAATTTAGCGGTTCCCTTTCTTAGCAATGGTGCTTAGATTTTCAATAGATTTTCAAGAAGTGTTTGCTTACACTGTTTTCAATAAATTTCATATGTTTATTTTTGTCTAATTGATAATAGAGAGTGTAATGTGGTTAGTGGAGAATGTTTTCATAGGTTATCTACAGTTAGATATCTTTTTTATAATTTCTGAACATGGCCTAATGTAGTCATATTATTGGAATTCATATTCTTTATTAGAATGTGTTACTTCTTTTTAACATTCTATCCCACTTTAGGTATTGTAATTAGATTTTCAATTCTGAATACATAATAAAAACCTTGAAACAAATAAAGTATATCTCCCATGCATGGAATGAGTTATACAAACCATAGTATGAACTGAAATATAGTTCTGAAACTGTCATAGTGATAGAAGTTGTGGAGTACGTTTTAAGTAAGTTTTTAAAGAAAAACTTCTCTTAAAGGTAAAAATCCCTTTAAGTTGAACTGGATTCCTTGTGGCTATAGAACAGAAGTGTCTTGCCAGAAGAAACTGTTGGTAATATATATATATAATTATAATTCTATATTGTGAGCTGGCGTTACAGATGTTTCATTTCTTATTTTTATAGCTTTTCAAAAGCTGCCTCAAAATAATAGAGTTTCACAAAGTCTAAATGGAGATCTTTATTTTTCTAATATAATACAAGAAGATAGCCGTGAAGATTATATATGTTATGCAAGATTTAACCACACTCAAACTATTCAACAGAAACAACCGATTTCATTAAAAGTTGAACCAGGTAGGTATTAATTTCTAAATTGGTTGTAGACATTATATTTAGCCAAAATATAATTTATATTGGTATGGTAGAAAACATTTTCTTGCAAAATTGTGCCCTCTTGCAATATATTGAAACGAACCATTTAGAAAGGAATCAAAATAATTTGCAATATATCTTTATTACAACTAAAGCAGTATATGTTGCTATTCTCAAATAGTTTCAGTACTTGAAGTATTTTGATATTAGTAGGATTAAGTAACTGCTTAGCAAAATTTCAAGTTTCATTTGAATACAGTTTGATTAAGTATGATGCCAATCAGATCATACTTGCAAGTGAAGTTTCATGTGATAATCACTTCAAAAAATATTGTAGAATAGAAGAACAATCTGTAGCTTCTGTAACCAGGAAACGTTAAATAATTTATGACATATTTGTGCCAATTACAACCCTGGCCTCTTTGAGAAACTTTCTTGAATGAGGCAGGTGGATTTTCCTCAATATTTAGGAAATTCTAGTACAGGGGAAGTAACTCTCAAACATGCTTCTCAGCCAGAAGAGGACTATTTCCTAACTTGGACATGAGAAATCAAAATATATCTATACATGTTGGACACTAAGAAGGATCACTGATTGCGTTCGAAATTCCTTTGTGCTTGGGATTAAAAGCATTGGTGTAGTGATAACAGGATTAATTTCTGAGTCCCACATTTTGTTGGCTGCATTCTTCATTATATTCTATTTGTTTCAGTGGATTCATTGAATGAAACAATGAGTGCTAATATGAGTGACTCTGATTTTTATGGTGGTGAGTTTTAGAGATGAATATTATTCCATTCATACAGAATTTGGTTAACTAACATTAATTTATGGCTGTTTAATCTTACTGCTCATACTACATTAATATAGATCTCATTAGAACTGGAGATATGTTAAATAATCTACATAATAACGTTAAGTTTAGATAACTAGGAAATAACAGCAAAATATTTGCATGAAGAACATGTTTCATTTTGACCTAAGAATCAACCTAACAATATTTCTTTTCATTTTTTTAAATTTTCTGATGATTCATTATTTCTGGAACTACACAAATAATGAATTTGTTAAAAAGCAATGCAAAACTAATTGTTCTGTTTAATACTTTACTACCGTGTTTCTCATATAATAAGGCCGGGTCTTATTTTTTTTGAGCCCCGAAAAAATGGCTAGGCTCTCTTTTCGGGGGTGACTTAATTCCCCCCCCTTGCATCTTCAGGTGGGTGGGCGGCGACGGCTTGGATGTTGACCTCGGCGTTGGTGGGGCACTTCGTATCGGGGTCAACGCAGGCAGCACCATATCCGGGTGTGCAACAAAAGTACTTCCTAACGGCAAGCCCCCCCCATCATTCCCCCCCATTTAGCATGTTTTAATATAGGCCTTAATTTGGGGGGAGGGGCTTAATTTCATTTCATGCCTATAAAACATGCTGGGACTTCCTATTGGGGGAGGCCGTATTGTTGGAGAAACAGGGTAAATGTATTGTTAACTATTTAATAATTTGCATTAAGATGAATATATTTGCTACATATTTCAAATTATTCATGTTCTAATGTGACATTTTATTTATTTCAGTCCTTTATGAAGGTAGAAAGCTATGGTTCTCATTATGATTATTATTCTTTCTATAAATATCTACATTTGTTTTTTAAAAAGCAATGAATAAAAAGACAAACCAGCTTGTCCATTATATTACCATATCTCCCTCTCTCCCTCTCTCTCTCTCTCTCTGTTTATGAGATATAATAGGCTCCCTTTACTTCCCTTTACCTACTTAAAAGTGCAATTTTTTTTCTTTTCAGTTCCTATTGCCCATGACTATTTAAGGAATACAAACACACATAGAATACTATTTGTCTTCTACTTTTTCATAAAACAGCATTTAAATTAAAACATTTTTGTATTGCTGATATGCAGCTTTTGTTAGATACAGTCTTGATAATTTTTCCTTTTCCCTTAAAAGAGTAGGTAACTTATTTTCTTTGAATGCATAAAGCTCATATGCAAAAAAACAGAGCAAGGCAACCTGCTCACTCTGGATTTCTGAAACATACTATTTTTTATAACATCTTTCTCCCTTTATTCCATTATTTAAAATAATCCCCAAGTTAAGGAACTAAGTATGGGCAGATGTTAGAAATCCCTAAAGAATAAAATTATATCAAATTACAGTTCTAGTATTTCCTTAAGATAACTTGTGGAACTGCCAAGCCTCTTAGGAACCAAGAAATACATACAAAGTTATTTCTGAGTAGTTCCATGTATTGTTCCTTACTTATAGACAGAAATCATGCCAAACTAAGAAACTATTTGCCTCAATATAGATTTTGGAATTTTTAGGCAGGAGCTCCCTCTTACTGTCTTCCTCCCAACCAAATATTTCAAGCTTCACTGCTTCTTTGCTTATGAAATGCAGCCCTTCCTTCTTGGGAATCCAGACTACATTCCACCACAGGAAGTAAAGCTGGATTGAGCCCCTGTACATAAGGACTTTATGTCCTCTTTGCTTTAAACTATTCAAAGTCCCATTAATGAGAGCAAGAGTTTGAATGTACATGGAAGATAGTTAAATTAAATTGTATAATTAAAATTAATATATAATTCAAAATCAAAGATTTTCCATGAAAAACTTTACTCATCATTATAACCCAGTGCCTAGCATTTTCATTGTTGTGTTTTATTTATCCTACAAGTTTTTATACTAGAGTTAAAGAATAAATTTTCTAAGGAAAAGTTGCTTTTGCAATCTCTGATCAAATTTGCAGTTAAAAAAAAGGATAGGAAAAGCAAGGTTTTGATATACAAAGCAAAACCCTTATCTCTGTCAAAATTATCTCTTGCCAAAATGATTAGGTAATTGAACTAGTCATAGAACCCTAGTAAACATTTATTTTTATATATAATTAACTGAATGCATAGATATATTTATGCATGCATTGCACTGGATACAAAGAATTTGTTTTAGTGTAGATTTTGTTTCCATTTAAATGATATATAATTTTATTTCTTTTTCTTTTAGTCAGATTTTATTCAGAAAGACAGCCAACTCTTCTAACACCTGCTGGAAATGCAAGTACCAAAATTGAATTAAGAGGAAACACTCTTATGCTGGAATGTATTGCAGAAGGATTGTAAGTTGTCATTTTAATCAAGGAAAATAAGAATAATGATACCATTATACAGCTATGGTTACCTATTATACAGCTGTGGGCCATGCTGTCTTTTATCTGATCATTCCATTGGCAGCATCTCCTTGCTCAGCCTCCCAAGGTCTTTCCCACATACCATTATATTTATTATAGTTGCTCAAATTAAAGTGAGTGGCAATACTGCCTTTCAGTCTTGTCCAATTAAGATAACACATAGTAGGCAATAGAGCCAATAAAATTTAAATACTGTATAATAAGTATTTAGTACCTTTTACAAAACATAGAATAAATGATTATATGTTTGGATTTAAAACCATTATAAAATTTGTTTAATTATTAAAAACTCCAAAATGTACTTTAAACATTGTAATCTCAACATTGTAATCTTAATGATATTTTCTTCTATTAGACCTACGCCATTAATCCGCTGGAGCAAAGAGGGTGGTGACCTTCCTGTCAACAGGACTTTCTTTGAAAATTTTCATAAAACCCTCAAAATTATAGATGTTTCTCAAGCTGATTCAGGAAAATACAAATGCATCGCAACAAATCGTTTGGGTTCTGCTTATCATGTTATTACAGTTAATGTCAAAGGTAAAATTACTGTTGCCTTGTTTAGCATTTAAAAGTTAATATGTATATTTCTGAATTCACATTCATGCCAGATCAGAAATATATCCTTTAATAAAAATAAAAGTGACCAAGTTGCATATAATTAATTGAAACTTCATAAAAACTTTTTATTTTCTTACTGTCTTATTCCTATTGATAATTCATAATAAACATGATAAGAAGGAAGAACTTCAAATATGTAAAATGTAATCTATTTGAATCTGATGGACTATTGTAGTCAATTTTTCAGTTCTTGAGGGTTGCAGTTATACTTTTCTTTCATCTAAGTTTACATTTTAATTACATAATATTATAGTGGGCGAAGTAGTAAATAATAAAACCAATGACAGGAAAGAAATGTTAAAAATAAATAAAAAGATTTATAAAAGTTGTAATAAACTGTAACATGTCAGTGCAGCAAGGAGAGAGCACCAGGAACAATATAAGTATCACAATTGCATGTTGTTTCTGGCCTCAAAATTGCTCAGATTTGGCATTTCTGGGTACATCTTAAATTTGATTATTTGGAATTCTTCGAGAGCAGGATCAGAAATTTGCTACACAAAACTTCAAATAACAGGATCTTATAACAAAAAAAGAGATGGTTTGATCTCATGGTTACAGCGCTAGGCTAGAAATCAGGAGGTGATGAATTCTAGTTGCACCTTAGGCATGTAAGCTGGCTAACTGACTTTGAGCCAGTTACTGTCTCCAGCCTTGAGCCTAGGAAGGTAAAGACGGCTTCCTCTTCAATTTCCCCCAACTGCCCTTTGGCTGCCTGCCAATCCACTGCCACTAGCTGCCCCTGCTGCCTAGTCCTGCTAACTGCTGCAACATGTATTACTATATACTTGGCACAACCTTCTTTCGTGCCATCTTCTTTCGCCCTAGCTGCAAATGAAGATGCTGGCTGGCACGCAAACAGAGATCGTGGCCATGGCAGAGAAAAACTCCAGCTGTACTGGGGTGAAAGAAGGTGGCACAAAAGAGGGCCCAGCTGTGTCAGTAGTGGCACATACAATGTGTCACACACAGCTGTGGTGAGGGGCAAGGCCAGGTACCAGGGGCAGTTGGTAGCAGCTGGTAGGTAAATGGTAGTTGTAAATGCAGATGGTCCCAAGTGGGCTCAAATTTTACTCACGTGACTGCAGGAGCACCGCAATGGCCAGAATTTGGCCAAATCCTATGTCCCGTCGTTCAACACTAATTTCAAACAGTCTCTGAACAAATGAATGTTGAGCAAGGACTATTCATAGTTGTATCTTCAGCTATTCTTCTCATCCTTCAGTCTCTTGACTCACTATACCTCTGACATAAGATTTTTAGAGATTGGAAAAAAGGTCTCTGCCACACAGTTTATGCGCCATTGAATGTAAAAACTCTTAGCATAAAAAGATGATATATGCATCATTTTAGAATCACAACCAAACAGATGAAGTGAGCTGTAGGTAGTGAAAGTTTATGCCTTTAATAAAGATTGGTGAGTTTGAAAAAGTGCTACCAAACTTTTGATTACTAACCAATTAATTTATTCTATTTTTAATAAATGCATTTTTGTTCTGTATATATTTGGAGTTTTGACATTAATTATATTAACATATGTAACCTAATATACTGCTACCACTGCAAAAACTAGTTGCTGAATGTTTTTGCTTCTTTCTTTCTACTCAGCTGCCCCTTATTGGATAAGAGAACCTCCAAATCTTGTATTATCTCCTGGAGAAGATGGTTCCTTGATTTGTAGAACTAATGGCAATCCTAAACCCAGCATAAGTTGGTTAGCAAATGGAATTCCAGTTGAAAGTATGGGCTGTTTCACTTTTATGTCATGTTAGATTCTTGCTTGATATTAGTGGTTTTATCAGTGTAAGTTTTTGAACAAGTAGTCAAGAATGAGCAAAACATTTTCCACATTTGTAGAGTTTCCATGGTATAGTTTAATGTAAGTTCAATAATGGACATTATTCTCTAAAGATTACACACAGAGAGAATAATGATTAAAACTAAAATTGAAAATTATAAATTCATTTATTTATTTAAGAAGAAATTAATGATATTTTGTCTTACAAAGCAAGAGCTTTTGAATCTGCAAAGTAGTCAGATCATTAAGAAGTTGAAGAAAGGAATCTAAAACCAATTCTATCGGGTGCTTCAGTGTGAAATAGTAATTCCTTGAGATTTCTAAACCAGGCTACCATTGAACCCTTTCTGAAGTTTATTTTTTCTTTTCCATTAAGTTGCTATGCACATTGTTTCAGGGACTCTGAAAAAAGAACATTTCAAATTGTAGCTCACAAAGAGAGAGCCAGCATCTCATGTGAAGCAATTAATTAGAGGAAAAGGATAAGAAAGCCCTAGATTGCAAAACTCATATAATGGAGGATAACTTTAAGAAGATTTTTAATACTGTATTTATTTTTATCAATGATTATTCATGCTTTTCATCCATTGAGATGCTCAATTAGTATATAGATGGTTATACATTTAATTGTATAATTGATTTTACATTTATTTTTATACTTGATTGTATATTCCTAAAAAGAATTCCAAGCAGATTGAAGATATTCCAAGCAAGATGGGAAACAAAACTGAGAGTAACGAAGATAAATGGGGAGGAAGAGTATGAAATTGCCTTACTAATTATATTAGAAGCATTTGCTATGTTTTAATCTTTTGAAGAAAAAATATCCCATGATATTTTCATATAATCCAAAAGTAAGCCTCTGAACATCTGCTGTTATAGCTCCCAGCTTTCTTCACTACTGACCTTCCTGTTGAGAATTATAGAAATATTTATAGAGACATAACTGCCTACCTTGATCTGTTGAAGAAGAGAAGAGAAACCACAACTGAGTACTTTATATTTGCATGAAGAAAAATTCCAGTGTAATTTCCATCTCCAGTTGTAAGTGCATCTCAAATAATATTAAGACATTTTGAGTCTATATATAAAATCAAAAGCTGGCTTGCAGGAATGTTCATATTAATATTAATGGAGTTTATCTTTGCTGATACTGTTCAAAAAAACCAGACCCCATAAAAGAGGAGGTGGAGTTGCATTGTATGTAAAGGACCACTATATTGCTACAGAAATGCATGAAACTAATGACGAAAACCTCCTAGAAGGCATATGGATCAATTTAAAAGAAAAAAAAAAGAATGACATGGCCATAAGTGTATACTATAGACCATCCAATCAAGAAAAAAAAAATAGATGTCCTTTTTGCCAACCAAATAACAAATATATGTAGGAAACACACTACAATAGTAATGGGGGACTTCAATTACCCTGATATCAATTAGAAAACTAATTCTGCACCAAGTGAGAAATCAAATAGTTTCCTGACTAACCTAGCTGACAACTTTGTTGTCCAAAAGGTAGAGGAGAGAACTAGAGGACCAGCCATTAATTCTTACAAACAGAGAAGAAGTGATATAGGGAGTTAAAATTGCAGGAACCTTGGGTAGCAGTGACCGTTTCGTACTAGAATTCAACATAACACAAACGCAAGCAATAGAACATAATGACACTAAAGATTTTAAAAGAGCTGATTTCAATAAACCCAGAGAGAACTTGGGAAAGATTCCTTGGATGAAAATCCTAAAGGGGAAAACAATTCAAGAATCTTGGGAAACTCTGAAAAGTATGATCATAAAAGCCTAGACCACCACAATACCACTGAGAAAGAAAAACAAGAAATACAAGAAGAAATCAGCATGGCTGCACAAAGATCCCTCTGACAAATTGAAAAACAAAACGGACAAGTACAAAAACTGGAAAGAGAGGCACAATCGGTCCACAAAGAGAGAAGATGGCATGAGCTGCTTAACTCATTCTTTGCATCGGTCTTCACACAAAAAGAAACTATAGCTCATCCTACCAAAAACATAACTGTAAAAGACAGACTAGAATAAAAGATAAAATAAGCAAAAAAATAGAAAGAGAACACCTGTCTGATCTTGATGAACACAAATCACCAGGACCTGACAGATTACATCCCAGAGTTCTGAAGGAACTGGCAGAAGTCATCTCAGAACCACTGCACCACATCTTTAAAGAATCCTGGAGCACCGGGGAACTACCAGAGGACTGGAAATGAGCTGATGTGGTTCCCATCTTCAAAAAAAAGGGGGAGCAGGGGAAACAGACCCAAGAAACTACAGACCAATCAGCCTAATATCAATACCCGGGAAGATTTATTTTATTTATTTTATTTATTTTATTTTATTTATTTGATTTGTCAATCGCTTACAAGATAATAGGTATAAGTATAAACATGAGTAAGAATACAGGAAATAGGTACGAATAAATGGGGACAATAGGACAGGGATGGTAGGCATGATGGTGCACTTATGCACGCCCCTTACAGACCTTTTAGGAATGGGGTGAGGTCAATAGTGAATAGTTTGAGGTTAAAGGAGTGGGGTTAGAGGATGTAACAACAGAGTCAGGTAGTGCATTCCAGGCATTGACCACTCTGTTGCTGAAGTCGTACTTTCTGCAATCGAGCTTGAAGCAGTTTACATTAAGTTTGTATCTGTTGTGTGTTCTTGTATTGTTGTGGTTGAAGCTGAAGTAGTCATTGACTGGTAGGACATTGTAGCAGATAATTTTGTGTGCTACGCTTAAGTCTAGCCACAGGCGGCGTAGTTCAAGGTTGTCCAATTAAAATTATATAATTATAAGATATTAGAAAAGATAATACAAAACATCCACCAACATCTAGAAACAAGTAAAGTAATAACTAGCAGTCAGCAAAACAAATCATGCCAAACCAATTTTATTTCATTCTTCAACATAGTGACTAAATTAGTAGACCAGCGAAATACTGTGAACATAATATACTTAGACTTCAGCAAGACATTCGACAAAGTGGACCACAACCTTTTTGGTAAGCTAGAAAAAAGTGGGATAGATAGCATCACCACCAGATGGATCCGCAACTGGCTGACAAACCGTACTCAACAAGTAGTCCTTAACGGATCTATGTCTACATGGAGGGAAGTAAGCAGTGGGGTACCACAATATTCTGTCTTAGGCCCAGTATTTTTCATAAATGACTTAGATGAGGAATAGAAGGGGAACTTAACAAATTTGCAGATGATACTAAGCTTGCAGATGATACTAAGCTAACACCCCAGAGGATAGGCTCAAGATCCAGATGGATCTTGACAGACTTGAACACTGGGCCCTATCTAACAAAATGAAATTCAATGTAGAGAAAAGTAAAGTCTTACACTTAGGCAAGAATACCTGTCAAAACTCCAGAAAAAGGACAAGTAGCTCTGGGGAGGTCAGTCATAAATTAGAAGCGAGGACCACTTGTATTTGGTTTGCCAGTCACATGGCCACCTGGCCATGCCCACCCAGTCACATGACTACCAAACCATGCCCACTCGGTCAGCTGCTGGGGCTCGCGGGTCACGTCTACTGAGGGCGAGTGTGGGAGGCAACCAGGAAGCATGAGACTTACGCCGCCTACATCACCCCTCTGCCAGCCGCCCCTCCAAGCATTTTAGCCGAGTGCGGGCTGCCGCTATGCAAGCTCCATGGGTGGAAGATCCACTCTCGTGAGGCTTGACTCGCATCATTCTCACAGCGGCGGCCCACATTCAGCCAAAGTGCGCAGGCTGGCGGGTGGCAGAGGGAAGGGGTGGCAGACAAGGGGCAATGCGGGAGGCATAGCATCACGCTCTCTGGTCGCCACCCCCGTCCCTAGCAGGCAAGGCCCAGCAGCTGTGGAGAATCCAGGCAGGACCCAACTGGCAACAGGTCAGCCTGGCTCACCTTCCTCTCGGCCACCAGCAAGCCAGGCAAGTGGAGGGGGGGGGAACTGAATTGTGCCCTGTGAGGGGCCCACCTCCAGCATTCCTCTGCCACCCCCCCCTTGCCTCTTAGTGCCCCCCTGCTCCCCCCTTTGCCTCTTAGCGCCCCCCTAAGTCATCCCACTGCCCTCCAGGGGGCAGTACTGCCCACTTTGGGAACCACTGGTATGGCGTCTCCTGCTTGGGCAGGGGGTTGTACTAGATGACCTACAAGATCCTTTCCTGTTAATCAGTAATCTGATACAAATGTTCCACTCACTTGAGATCTAATTATCATAGCCTGATTTGGATTATTAATATTAAACTATTAAACTAATGAGTTAGAATAAGGTTGGTGCATGACAGAGTGAATAAGTGTGGAGCTCATATATGTATGTGTGTGTGTGTGTGTGTGTATGTATGTATGTATGTATGTATGTATGTATGTATGTATGTATGTATATGAAGAAACAGACATCTTGTGATCTCCGGAACTAAAATTATATTTATTATACATACTAAGGTTTTGTCAGCCTCTGCTGACATCATCAGAGGCTGACGAAAGCTTAGTAAGTATAATAAATATAATTTTAGTTCCAGAGATCACAAGATGTCTGTTTTCTTCTCTTACAAGGATATATACAGGTATGTATATGTGCAGTATTTCTGACCTTCCTTCAAATTATTTTATTACAATCCAGAGACAATTTTTTCAATGTTGAATAATTTTATCTGTCCTCTGTGTTTTAATAGTTGCTCCTGAAGATCCCAGTCGAAAAGTTGATGGTGATACAATTATTTTCACTAATGTGCAAGAAAGATCAAGTGCTGTATACCAGTGTAATGCCTCTAATGAATATGGATATCTATTAGCAAATGCATTTGTGAATATTTTAGGTAAGACGGTGCTTTTTAAAAATAAAAATAAAAACAATATTAATGGTGTTTTATTATTCATTAGTAGACAGTAAATGCTACAATATTGACTTATTGGTAACTTTAGTATTTATTCGACTTGTCTTTCCAGCACCTCAGTTATATTACTATATTAATATAAATTTAACTATATTAAAATACATAAAGCAGTATAGTTAAAGAATAAAAAAGAATGAATGAATATCAGATTTGATATCTCAACATCAAATGTCAGCCCCAGTAAAGTCTTACATGAAATCCTATTCATTTTTATTAGGGGGATTAGTAGGCTAGACCCTATAAAAGATTTCCCCTGTCCAACTTGAGGGAATGGTGCTTCTTAGCTGAGAGAGCCGGAGTTGTCCGCAGACATTTCTGTGGTCACATGGCCAGCATGGTCTATATGCCAAGATGCCACTGAAGTACCTATTTATTTACTTGCACAATTTTGAACTGCTAGGTGGGCAGAAGCTGGGGCAAGTAATGGGAGCTCACCCCATTGTGCGGCACTTGGGTCTTGAACATGGGCTATCCGCTTCCCAGCTGGCAAGCTAAGCATCGTTTAACCACTGAGCCATTGTCTTACATGCAATCCTATTTATGTGGGAGGTCATTAGGCTAGGTAATTTGCATAAGAAAATTATTTGTATTACTCAACATTTTATGATACGTGTGGTTTCAAATCAGTGGTAACCCCTGGTGACTGCTTGCACAAGTCCCTGCAGTTGTCTTGGCAACATTTTTGGAAGTGGTTTGCCCTTGTCTTCTTCCTACAATTGAAAGCATACGGTCCAAAGCCACCCAACTGGATTTGTGTCTAAAGTCAGACTAGAACTTAAATTCTTTTGATTTGTAGCCTGCTACTTTAACTGCTATACCAAACTGGATTACAGGTGGTCCCTGGGTTAAGAATGTCTGACTTAAAGACAACCCCTAAATATTTTGTCAGATGGTTACTAATCTTATTCAAATTTTTACATAAGATATAAGGCAGAGAACTGTCTAGGAAAATAAAAAAAATCTTGATAAATGTATTATTGAGATCTCAAATATTGCATTTACTGAAACAAAAGACACTTTTCCCCCCAAAGTTACATATCTGTAACAGCAGAGAGTTCTACTTAATTCACTTAGAATATGATAATGGCAACATTATTATTACATATTATTGGGGCATTAAATTACCCAGAGTAGGTAACCTCATCAATGCTAGACATATATACTTATATAAATAAGCTAGATATATAAACTTTCCTACACAAATGCATTCAAAATATTCACAACATTTTAAAAAATATTTTTATTTTCAGCTGAACCACCAAGAATCCTTACTCCATACAATAAACTTTATCAAGTCATTGAAAATAAGCCTGCATTGCTAGATTGTGCTTTTTTTGGTTCACCTATGCCTGAAGCTGAATGGTAAGTTGCTCACAACAGGGGGGATCATTCATGCTTAGCGCACATTAAACTAATGAATATTGTGACAATCTGTAAAGTTAAATAGAGATCTATATCTTTTTGTATACTTTAATTGTTCATCTTCCATTTCATGTGAAGGGAACCTTGATTAATTTATTTAGTTTTCAATTTTATGCACAATTAATCTGTCTTACACTACTTAGCAAACATCTGATGACAAATTACATCCATGACTATAAATAATAATTATCTTTTCTTTTAAATAACTGCCAACAGGAGGGGAGTCAATTAAATTTGGGATCACAGGGGTAAGCAATTCCCCCTACCAAGTGCTCTCATCAACATGATCACCCAGGGATCAACAGCAATTTCACATCATGGAGTGGAAAGATTGAAAATGTTAGCCTTGTGTGATATGTTGTAGTCTCAAAATTTATTGGGGACGTTATATTAAAAAATAGCATATTAAATCAAATCATTTATTTAACATTTTGTGTGAGTTGGCTCTTTTTTGTTGTGTATGTATATAATCATCTTTCTACAGTTTGTCACATATTATTACATCTCTGTTGAGGTTTAGGGATTCAGTAGACATGTTACCTTCAAATAAAGTTTAAATTAATGCATAATTTGGACAATCTCTTTCCAATACATAGGTTTCAAGGAGTGAAAGGTAGCATTCTCCAGGGCAACCAGTATGTTTTCCATAATAATGGTACCTTGGAAATTCTGAAAGCCCAGAAGAACAGCAGTGGCACGTACACCTGCATAGCAAGAAATAAACTAGGAAAAGCACAAAATAACGTTCAGTTAGAAATCAAGGGTAAGAAATTCTGGCTCTGAAATAAAAGCCTCCTAATCTGTTTGCTGATTTGTAACTGTTAAGTATCATAGTAATTATTTTATGTTTCAGAACCCACAATGATTATTAAGCAGCCTGAATACAAAGTAGTACAAAGGATGGAGCAAGTTTTCTTTGAATGTGTAATTAAATATGATGCAACATTAATACCTACAGTTATATGGTTGAAGGAAAACGATGAATTGCCAGATGATGGGCGGTATGTATTTCTAACCCTAGCCCCACTTCCTTGCAAGTTAATAAAACACGAACAAGTGGATTTAATACATATTTCCAGATATAATTTAATAATATATCCTGTTGCAGATAAAGTGTTACTATTTTTTAAAGATAGTGCTTTCTGCAATGCACGAATTATGATTTCTCTGCACCAGGCATGTATGCTACAATAAGATTCAATATAGGTAACCCCTTGTGTAACATCATACTGCATCTTTTGATATATTCACCAAGTATCTTTTCCTAGGATCGTACATCAGCTGTAAAGAGAAAAGAAAACCAGAATGGTGTAATGATTTATATTTAGCGTATGGCAAATATATGGACTTATAGTAGTTCAAATGTTAATGTCAGTCCACCCAGCCTTTCAAGAACAGGGTGGTCTGTATTGAAAAAATCGGACTATGGGCCGATGTAAGCTCTTGATGGACATTTGGACACAATGTGAGGAGCACCACAGTCACACTGAGGGATCGAGACAAGACCCCTTACACAATGAGTCCTGGCAGACACCATGTTGGATACGGATCCTGTTCAGAGGTGACCAATGTTGGCGAGGAAGGTCAAAACCTGGCACCTTTTGTGTAGGGTCATCTACATAACTGCCTGTATCTGGGCATTCAGCAGCCCATTTGGCTTTCCACTGTGTGTTGATATCAAAGTTGTTAGACAGTTGTTGAGCAAGTTGTAATTTTGTTGTACTCCTTCACTAAGGCTTCCTGCCTTCGTAGAGCTGGTGGTGCAATGTGGCTAAGGACAGGGAGCTATTTTGTTTACCCATTCCAATGTATTTAGAGAGCCAGGAGTTTTACAAAGATGTGTGACTGCCAACTGTTGTTAACTGCCAATTCTTCAATGTAGTCTGGCTGCCAATTGTTTAGTTCACACTTCTGTACTATCCAGGGTGCACCATGAGGAGGCGAACTAGTATTACACCCTGGTGTAATGATTAACACATTACACCAGTGTTGGCAAACCTTTTCAGCACCAAGTGCTGAAATGGGAGCGCGCACACGACTGCGCATGCCTGCGTGTCAGAAACCAGAAGAGCAGCCGGTCACCTGGTCTTCCGGCTTCTGGCATGCATGTGCATGCGAAGATCAGCTGGCCAGAAGAGTATCAATGAAGCACTCCCCCCAGCCTGCCATCGAGAACAAGCCAGCACAGCCCACCCACCCCCGCTATTTCTGCCAAAAGAGTGTGACTGCTTCCCGGCTGGTGTGCTTCTTACTCTGGTGCCGGACAGATGTTCCTCTCGTGTGGACTCAGCTCCTGTGAAGTCCCAGAAGAGGAGCAGTGGCAGCTGCAGGGAGAGGGGCAGAAGCGACTGGCTGGGCCCCGCAGTTGCTCCCCTGCTGGTGAGCTGGGCCCTCAGTGGCGTTTCCATGCATGAGGAGCTGCACTCTTTTCTGGCCCTCCTGGGGCAGCTCACCTCTCCAATGGTGGTTCCTCCTCCTCCAGCATCCTGGCCAGAAACCAGGTGCTCCAGACCACAGACATGTGTCTGTGCCATGGGCTGGAGGACTGGGGCCATGCAAGAAGCCCACTTGGGCAGGGAGGGAGGGAAGCCTCAGCCCGCCCGTCCTGGCTGACAGCTCTGGTCCCCTAGGAAGCAACCGCCAAGATCCCCTCTCCGTGTCTTTGGGCATGCGAGCCATCGCCTGTTGCTCTTCTCGGTTCCAGAGTGCACATGCACACTGGCAAGCTGGTATTTGTGCATGTATGTGCACTAAAAACTGGAAAATCATCTTCCCGGCACATGCATGCATGCACGCCGGGCGGCTGCTCTTCCTGCTTCCGGCGCTCCCGTGTGCATGAAGACCAGCTGGCTGACGCACCGGATCCAGAAGAGCAACGGGCAATGGCTCCGCATGCCCAGAGAGATGGCTCTGCGTACCACTTCAGGCACGCATGCCATAGGTTCACCATCATGGTATTACACTAAACTAATGCTAGTAAAACAATAACAGATTATGATGCTTTCATCAAAATGATAAAAGCAGTATCATGCCACTAGAATGCAAGTTTCACTTATTTCATACATGCGTGTGTGATATGATGACACACATACAAAAGGGGTGGATTATTACACTGTTCCCTTAATGTCCTTGCTTTGACACTCAACCCTAATCTCTGTTATTTTTCCATAAATGCATGTCATTTCTTGGTGCTTTGGTTTAAGCAATATCTGTGGAATGCATATTTCAACATACACTTGTAGTGAATTTATTTTTCAATATTTAAAACTCCTACTAAATTCATTGCAGCTCCTGAGAAAGTTCTTAAATGGCTAACAAATCATTGTAATAAATAAATTAAAATTATCTACATGTGTTGTTCTGCCATTGTTCTAACTGATCTCATAATTCTACTGTATCTTATTTCATTTTTTGTTAATGGATTTTAGTCACCCAATTTGGTTCCTCTTTTGGATTCCTTCTTGAACTGCTGTCAACTTGCAAGTACATGTGTGTTAAGATGCTATTGTTATTTACTACAACTAATAAATTATACATTTAGAAATGTTTGCAATAATGGAATAATTAAATGTATTGTAATTACAGGTTTATTGTAGGTAAATACAACTTGACCATTATGAATGTGACTGATAAGGATGGTGGAGAATATACTTGCCTAGCTAATACTACACTGGATAGTGTTTCTGCAAATGCTGTACTCACTATTGTGGGTAAGATATCTCTTTATATATATATATAAAAGTGAAATACCATTCACGCATCATCACAAAATCTCTGCAACTGTAAAGCCTACAAACTTGAAATTTGGCACATATGTTCATCTTGGCTTCTAGTGCTCACTAAGAAAGGATTTTTTGAAATGACCATCAGAGCATTAGTATTTCGTTTATTATTATTAACACTCTCTGATGCTAAGGAGTTCTACTCCCTCTCCCTGCCTGAAAAAAAGAAATCTGTTCCACATGCAAAACACAAGCAGAGAAGAGGAGTTTCTGTTTCAGTTTTAGTTTCACAGCACCAAGCAGCTTTAGTATAGAACAGTTGAGCTAAGCCACGCTTAGGTTCCTTGCTGTCTCCTTCTTGCTCACACAGAAAATACTGTTTCAGTTTCCAAACAACCCTCAACTCTCTCACACACTGACAGGATGCTAGCCAGATAATTACTGATAAATGCTGGTAAGCAGACGCAGATTTTTTCCCCTTATTTTCCTTCCCAAAAACTAAGCATGACCACATACTGTAGTTTTTGTAGTGAAGCACAGGTATCGAGCTAGTGTAGAATTAAAGCAAAAACTTGTTATCTTTTTGTTAACTGGTTTTAAGCTATTCTGATATTACAGTTTGGAATATTCTAAAAGTAAGAATATATTTGATCCCATAAATTCAACCAAAATAATTTTTCAGTTGCTACTATAATGCTATCTTAGGTTTGAACCCAAAGTGTTATTAAAAAACAACCAGAAAGCTAAAAACTTACTTTAAAACTCCTTTTTCCCCTTCTTTACTCCCTTTTTCCTGTATACACCTGCTCATTTTTCTTTACTTCCCCACCCTCCAGCGATATGATGAACTATCTCTCCTCCTTCAATCTCTCTTTATAATGTTCATAAATATGTATACCTGGGGAAAGGAAAATTGATTGTTGTAATTGATTGTTAAATAATTGAATTAACTGATCTAATTGATTTATTAATAATAGTGATAGTTATACTTTGATTAGATATATTGGAAAAATAGTAAGAACATTAAGTATTATTTAATAACTATAAAGGATTTTATATATTAATATTACAATTCATTGTGCGATCACTCTAAATATTTAATTAATCCACTTGGGGACGAATGTAATACTGTTTGTGTTTAAGGATATTCAAAATAAGGTTATATAATAAATATATTTATGTATAATATTTAAATATAGTTGGATTTGGGTATTATATATATATATATATTTATTCTTAAGTTTTCGCGGGTACTTACATGTATGGCCTTCAGCTTTGTTCGGGTATTTTCCCACGTCATAGTAGTGGTGCTTTTAAAGTTGTAGCAACGTTTCAGCAGAATCTCATATATATATATATATTTCATATATATATATATTTCTACTATGCGGAAGTTATGTATAGAGGTTGAGCATTGAGGCCTTACAAAATTATATATGTGATTTAGAATTTGGATTTAAAATAATACGGTGATAATATTTTTATCTACAAGAACCTATACTTCAGTAAATTGGCAAAGAGTACAGATATCCAGCAGATAGATAGATTAAGTAATTAGATACTAGTCAATCCCAATATAGAGATTCTATTACTGAATGTTAATTTGGGATAATATAATTAATATATTACAACAACAGAAACAAATCTTAAAAGAAATGACTTCCACAACAACTACAACTTTGAAAACTGGAAGAAAGGTCACCCCGACATGGGGAAAAAGAAAGGGATTGCAGTGTATGTTAAAGAGGATATGAAAGCAGATTTAATATGGTCGGTTCCTGAGTGAAGAACTCTGGTTTTGCAGATCTGGATTAATGCCATCCCAATTCTCTTAGTGGTAATCTACGCCCCGAATGGAGATCAAAAAGAGTTTTTTAAGCATTTTTATGGAAAAATAGTAGAATTGGAAAAAAGAAATACTTGTATTATAGCAGACTTTAATTCTATTGCTGATTATCAAAAAGACCACAGTAATGGGGGAAGGAACAAAGGGGACAAAAAAGAGAGCTTCCCAAAATATGCATGGAAATGATGAAGGAGTTAAATTTGATTGATACATGGAGAAGATTAAATCCTGAGAAAAAACAATTTACATTCTATTCAAATCCTCATCAAATATGGACACGAATTGATATGGCATGGATGAATGGGGAAATAGTAAATGAGATAAAAGGGATTGAAATCCTACCCAATGAATGGGCAGATCACAATCCAATTCAGATAATATGGAAGGGTAGGGAAAAACCCAAGAAAAGATGGACGTTAAATACTCAGTTAATAAGGGAAAAAGAATATACTAACAAACTCAAGGAGGAATTAAACTATTTTTTTAATATTTATTAAACTATTTATTCTATTATTTTTTAAAGGAAAATAATAATGGAGCAACTACAAAACAAAACATTTGGGATACAATGAAGGCAGTAATAAGAGGTATAACAATCTCTTATAATGACAAGAGGAACAAAGAAAAATACACCCAGCAAAACAAATTACAACAAAAAATTAAGGAATTAGAAACTCAACTACAGAGTACCCCAAAGGATTTAAGATTGCAAAATCAGATAACAATAACTAAACATAAATTGAATTTAATTGAACAAGAGAGAATGATTATAAATCTGAATACAACTAAACACTCATTTTGAGCATGCCAACAAGCCAGGGAGATGAATATCATATAGACTTTAAAAAAGGAAAGAAAAAAGATTGATTTATCAGCTAACAGATGGAAAGGGGGATATACAACAAGGGATAGAACAGAAAAAAGAAATTGCCCATAAATATTTTGAAGAGTTATATAAAAAGGAAGAAGTTAACGAAGCTAGGATAAGAAACTATTTAGATGAAATGAAGGATAAAGCAATTGGGGAAGAAATGGAAGAATTATTAAACAAAGACATTACTTGGTTCGAACTGAAATCAGCAATAGAGAACCAGAAAAACAACAAATCCCCGGGACCAGATGGGATCCCAGGGGAGCTGTACAAGGCAACAGCAGAACAAATAGGACCTCTTATGGTGGAAGTTTTTAATGACATATTATTGGCAGCCAGGATGCCGGACTCATGGAGGGGGGCATTGATTTTGCTGATCCCGAAGGAGGATTCGGACCTCCGATATATACAAAATTATAGGCCGATTTCTTTGCTAAATACTGACTACAAAATATTTACTTCTATTATAGTAAGTAGACTAAAAAGAATTTTAAATGAGCATATACATGAAGACCAAAATGGATTTCTCCCAACCAGTCAAATCAGGAATAATTTAAGAATAGTATTAGATATTTTAGAATTTTACGAAGCCCACCCCGAAAAATAAATAGCACTTATGCAGAGAAGGCCTTCGATAACTTAAATTGGCAATTTTTAATCCAAAAAAATTATAATATGAATTTAGGCACTAAATTTGAAAATATTATAACAACCATTTATGATACACAACAGGCGAATATTATAATAAATGGGGAATATACCCGCCCAATAAAAATAGAAAAAGAGTCAGACGGGCTGCCCATTCTCACCCCTGCTCTTCATATTATCACTAGAAGCATTATTAACACGAATTAGACAGAACCCAGACATAAAAGGATTAAAGGTTAAGAAAGAAGAATATAAGTTGCAAGCGTTTGCGGATGATATGATTTTTTTCATTGAAGAACCAATAGGAAGAGGACAAAAATTGATGAATGAATTAGAACAATTTGGAGCAGTAGCAGGACTTAAAATTAATAGGAAGAAAACAAAATTAATGAGTAAAAATTTAACAGGAAAAAACAACCAGACAAGACAGGATGATTTCTTATACATATACTTGCCTGAAAGAATGGTACTTTTAGAATATACATCATTTGGATCTGATCTAAGAAAATATAGTTCTGAGTTTTCTTTGTATAAATTTTCTTTCCATGCCAGAATCTTAATATTTAGGGTTCTGTATGCATTATAATTACTATGTATCTTTGTTTATAATGTGATTTCATAAATTAGCTTCCTTTTTTTGTAGAGTTAAAAAAATAACCTGTGTCTAATAGAAAAATATTTTAAAATATCTTAATTCCTTGGAATTTATATTTGGTAAACTAGACATTATTAAATTAATCTTGTTTTAAAATTCCATATCCAATTAGAAAGTATTTTTGTAGAAAGATTTCCTACATAGCAGCTGGAGGTTTAATGGAAGAGTATAGTTTTTCATTAGCAGGGAAGTAAAATTGTAGATTTACATAGTAGAAAAGCTAATTCAAGTAATGTTAATGGGGAATAAAATCTCTTAACAGTGAAAACTACTGGGACCAGTACCCAAAGATGTTAAATTCCTCTTCTTTGCAAGTGTTGGATGGATGCTAGGCAGACTTTTGTTGGGAATGCTTAAAGTTCCTACATTGTGCAGACAATTGGCTTACATGATCTATATAATCCCTTTCAATATGTTGAGTCTATAGTTTGACAATTGTCTGCAGGACTGTTCAGGACTCAGATAAAAGAGGCTTTTGCTGTTGTTTTAATTCAATTCAGGCACTTACATTTTTGCAAATAAAATAATTACATTTTATTACGATAGCAAGTCATGTTAGTAATAAAGAGTATTGCTTTATTCTGACTACTTACAGAAATTTTTATAGTTTATATGAATATCCTTTTTTCCAGCTCCTCCAACAGTTCCACCTATTGTTTACGGTAAACTAATAATAAGTCTTGCTTGCGTTATATACCAAACCTTCCTAAACTTTCTGCTTTTTTCAGATTGAAACTTTCTCTTTTTATTTTTGTTTGGTTGTATATTTATGTTAAATCTGGTGAGAATTGTGTTACTATTTTTATTTATGACTGAAATGCTAAACTGTTTCATTATTATAATTAAATCAAACTTGTCAAGTATAAATTTCTCAAATAATTGCCTGAATGAATTATTAAAACCTGTGTAACATTCAGCTGCTACCCAACACTGCCCTCCTCTGCCTTCCCTGAGAACCATTCCACCCA